TTTGGGAACTTATTTCTCACATCCTAAGCCTTAAAATCAGACGAAGAAATTCCTTTTTCCATGGAAACATTATCCAAGCCCACTGACGAAAGGATGTCACTCTAACTGATGTATACAAGTGAGGCTAATGAGGCTTGCTTTAAGGTAGCTGTGAGGGAACGGGCCTAAGCCTAGGCCTTTTGCCACTGCGCACACTATCTTAAGAAAATCCCCTTTTTTCCTGTGTTTTCTTCCTGTTACGTACTATCTCATCGAATTTGCCCCCAAAAAAAATCCTAAGCAGCAAAAATTTTCCACTAAGATTTTCACCTTCTATCTACCTTAATATTATGAGGAGGATAGGAAGGCATGAGAGGAAAGCGCAAGGAGGGAGGGGAACACATGTACAATGTCTGGAATGACTGGATTGTCGTGAGACCACGAAAATCTCATTTCTTCAATGCAAATCACTGGTGTGATGAAAATCGATACACGAGAGACCTCGGTACACTTCCGCGGTGTTAAGCATGCCGAGAAACTGGGTCTAAATACTGCATATACTGATTTAACATTTAGCAGAACAGTCTGTGTTTCATCCCTTAGCCAAGTGTTTACCGCAATTCATAAGGTGCTTTTAATAATTGTCCTTAAGAACTATGTAACTAACACATTAAGCTTCATAAAATTTAGGTGACTGTTTGAAAGTGCATTTGTTACGGTGCAGTACCGCAACAGTTTCACGGTGGGAACGATTCAGTGCATGGTGGAAGAATCCGCTTGAACAACTATACTGAATTTCGGTAAATCCAACAGCTGCAAGGCCATGGAGAATGGAAATGTTGCCAGCTGCAGCAATGATGAAAACGTACGTGCATTTCGCAAAAATTTCTCGCAATTGCTAAAATTCGGCTCGGATCAGCGGGTTGAAAGACGAGTTGCGATGACTGAGGAACGCGGGCGTCAACTGTCGCAAGTCGACCCTCAGCCTGGCAGAGCTGTGTTTTAGTAATTGCAACTGGGGTTTGTACATC